GAAATTTCTTCATGGGCTTTTGTGCCTTTTACTTAAGTATGAGTTCTAAAAATAGACTTAATAATAAGTTACTTTTAGATTACTAACTACAGAATATTGCAATAAATATTGAAAATACAGAAATTTACAAAAAATACTAAAAAGCTGAGCTGAATGAGATTGTTCATTTCTGCTGCAGTTAAACTTGCCTTATGTGTATAAGGAAATGTTATGAAATAACGATAATTTATTTATGTTATTAATTTAAATTTACTATACAGGCAATATGTTCAACATTTTTTATAAAATAAGGGAAATTGCAAATTTTTATTCATTGGTATTATAAATTCGCAACCCTGTCTTCAAACATCTACAATTGTTAAGAATGTCTAGGACAAGGAGGGAGTATAATTAAATGGTTAAACTAACTTACCTTAAGTGAAGTTCAACCATAATTATACGAAGCTCCTTGTCCTAGACGGTATTATGTGTTAGGGTTGCTCATCAATATATCATAATGAAGTTGCATTGACGGAGGGGTTGATACAGTGTTGCCAGATATACTACTTTAAAAATTTTTTTTAGCGAGCTTGTATAAGTTGTGATGCTGGAATGAAATGCGGCGTACTAAAATTGTTAAGAATGTCTAGGACAAGGAGCTTCGTATAATTATGGTTGAACTTCACTTAAGGTAAGTTCGTTTAACCATTTAATTAAATTATGAACCACGCCTTATTTTTATTTATTTTTTGGTATTACTTTAATTACCAACATTAATCTTAGAACTTAAGGACAAAGGTTTCTTTAATCTATCTCGAATATCAACTAGTTCAAATGATATCTAATAAATAACGGCTTATTAGATGAAGACGCCTTGTCCTTATTTTGTTACTACTCTTTTATAATAAGTAATCTTATATTATTACTTACATTCTGACATAATTACGGAAGTTAAATTTATAAATAAATAATTTTTAAAAAGCCTCCCATTATTTCCGCCTATATATGTAGGTGTCATAACAGGTGACTTCTGATGTACAACGCTTCCGACTGATCACAGTATAACCATCTCGTGTACTACGTCGTGTACTAGCGTACACCGACGAGTCAAATGTGATGGCATCGAGTACCCCGACTCGCAATCCCTAAGTCGTAGGATTGATTTCAACATGTGATGAGTTTGAAATTGAGTTGGTTATAATGGGGTTTATAATGTGTTGGGAATACATCTGGGGGCCAAAACCTTGTTCAATAATTATTATTGAGAGTATTGTAAATTAAATTCAAATTCATATATAAATTTGAATTCAATTTGAAATTTAAGTTTTCTGTCTGGAGAATACATTGATATAATCCTCTCTCTCTCTCTCTCTCTCTCTCTCACTCGCTCTCCCACTCATGTAATTTTTATCAATATATAGGAGATTATAATTCGTTCTGCAGCCTATTTATCAATAGCCCATTCTTATGAATAAGTACGAGCTATATACATTTGAAGCTAAGTGGAAGCAATTTGGCAGCGCAAAATATTGGCATCTTATCATGACCTCAATCGAGCTTAGGTCAAGTTTCAAGTAAAACGGCATCAATTGTCGAAAACACTGTAAACGTCAGTGATCTTTACAGTATGGCAACTCATAGTTACGTAATACAAAATATTTTTATCTATTTATTTGTTAACAACATTTGTTATTATGTAAAAGTTATGATTATGTTTCGTAAAACAAGTTAGTACTTTGACTGTAACATTGGGAAACGTAATGATAAATTTCGTGGGTATTGTTAGCCATTTCATTCAGCAGGGTTACCCTATCGATATAGTTAAAAGCATTCCTTAGGTCAAACTTCACAAGAACAGCTGCATCAGAGTTTGTTTAAAATGTTCACACTGAATTTACCGCCACAACACGGCTAACTTTAGTGCCAGATGCTGGTAGAGTAGGCTGAAATTTTGTCTTAGGGTTGGAGAGATTATGTGCCTGCAAGTTGAATTTGAAGTTAGGCGTCGAAATATGAACCCAACGGCAATAGGACAGATACCGTTATTCTTTTTTTAAGGCATATAATCTTGCATCTTTCAAGTAGGGATTGAAATACAGATTAACGTTACCAGAAAGGATAAAATTTCATAATTTTGTAAAGTCATTAAAAGTTCTCCGCAGATGTAACCGAATAATGCGCATAAAATATCTTTAAGATGTTAAGGTGTAATTCTGTCTATTCCGCCTGCATAGCCGTTCGAAAATGACATAATTGCTTCTAGTGACTTTTCAAAAATTTACACAGGTTGCATAGATGTATTGGAAGTCAGCGGTAAATTCTGAGGAGGATTAATATTGTAAAGAAGTTCTGACGAAGCATTAAGAGTCTCGACATTACGAAGAGTCAGAATGTCGTCTGAGAATAAAATAGGAGCGGTTAACGCTTTCAAAAATGTGCAAGCTATTATAACTTTGTACAACACACCATTTCGAAATCATTTGGAGTGTAATTCAATAATTTGGGCTCCTCATGAGAAGTAGTACGATCCAATACTGGAGAAAGTACAAAACAATTTTGTAAGGTATTTGTATCACAAGCTACAATATGCGGTGTACACTTTTTACCCACTGCAATATCCTACGAGTACATAATTTGTTCTGGGTATGGTGGAATAAAATCAGCTCAGGGTGAGGAGAGAACTTAGATTAGTGTCATATATTTTTATGGTTCTTAGCGGTAAAATAATTAATAGGAATACGTTAAAGAAGATTATTATTTGTGTTCCGGATAGGTATAAAGTTTATTATTATTTTTGGGGTATCTATATAATTTTCAAATCTGGTTGGGTTCTATAAATATATATTTTAAGTTAAAATGAAAAGATAAATATACATAAATACATAAATATCAATAAAATAAAATAAATACAAAAAATACATAAATAAATAAGATCCAACCAGATGGAAGCCCTCGGCAGGGGAGACCAAACGGCCGAGGGTTAGGAAGAAAGGGAAAGAAACCGGCGGACGATGCGGGCGGTATCGAGGACCACCGCCTTCTGCATTTGAGCCCGGAGCGGTCCGTCACGGAGTCCCAGTCGCCTCAGATGACCCGAGAGGCTGACTGGGATTAGCCCATTCGCAGAGACGACTAAAGGAATAATTTCGGTTGGCAGACCACCCCACATAAATAGTCCTGTCTGTGATGATGGCCCGGTCCCAGTAGAGCCTAGCGCGGTCATTTTCGAGCACGGCTTCCGGCAAGTACTTGTAATACGGCAATTTACGGTCCACGAGACCGTATTTCAGAGCGCGATCCTGATGGATAATTCTGGCTATTAGGTTGTGTCTGTGTAAGTACTCAGAGTTAGAAAGCACCGAACAATAGGAGATGACATGCCTAAGTGACTCAACGGGATGGCTACAAGCTCGACAGACGTCGACGGTGCCATCCTTTAGGATATATCTCCGATAGGTTGGCTCCATTGCAAGACAGAGCGTTGGTGTAGCACGAAATACCTCCCGTGGAGCTCCTTCTCCTTCCATACGGCCTCCCGATCGGAAATGCTAAGCCCTGCTGGGTCTTGCCATTGCTCGTTGGCTAAGGATAGAGGGATAAGCCCTTTATCACAAGAAATGACGTCATTATAGAATGGATCATCCGATCTCGCTAAGAAGTATTGACGGAGACTGCACACTTCGCGATTATGCATGGTGAGGGCGCTCAAAAAGCCATGCTCACCAAGCTTTCGCAGCAAGTACAGCCTCATTACGGATGATCTTGGATGATGCATACTATGGGACGTCATGGTAGTGCGGACTTTTCTATCCAGGGCGTTAAGCTCAGTCTGACTCAACCTGAGTATGCCAAAGGCATACATAAGGACAGTCATGACCCAGCAGTTATATGCGTGTGACTTATTCACACCAGACAAAAGGCTGTTAAGCACTCTGGTCAAGCGTGCATAAAACACGTCGCAAACTGACTGTTTCATACCAGCCTCATCGATACCCATGTTCTGTGATATACCCAGGTATCGGTATGTTTCAGCCTCGGAAAGGGTCCTTAAGTTGACGGGCATAGACAAGTCTATGCCATCAGAGTTAGCAACCCTTCCCCTTTCAACATGGAGGACGGCACACTTATCCGTCCCCAGCGCCATTCCAATGGAATTGCTAAATTCACATGTAATGTTTAGCAGTTCCATAAGATGGGAGCGACTGGAGGCGAATAACTTGAGGTCATCCATATAGAAAAGTTGGGTCACTTTTGTCCCTCCTCCGGAATTACCTCTACAAGAGAACAACAAGATGGCAGAAGAAGAAAAGAAAGAAAGAAAAGTTGGGTCACTTTTGTCCCTCCTTTCTGTAGCTGAAATCCCCTCCCGGATCCCTTCAGTAAGGTACTGAGAGGGTTCAGAGAGAGGCAGAACCAGATTAGACTCAGACAATCGCCCTGGAAGATACCCCTTCTTATCCTTATGTGGTTCTCCGCAGCCATCATCCGCTCGCCCAGATGACAAAGGATCGTACTCCACTGCCCCATACACTGCTCGAGGAAGTCTCTAACTGTACAGTCAAACTTGTACAGCTCGAGGACCCTCTTTAGCCATGTTTGGGGCACCGAGTCGAACGCCTTTCTGTAGTCTATCCAGGCGGCAGAGAAGTTCCGACGGTTGCGTTTCACCACTTTGCCTATTACCGCGTCAATGAGGAGTGGTTCCTTGGTTCCACGACCACCGCCCTGATATCCATTTTGAGCGCGTGACATGATCTGCTTTAGCTCCAGATGACGAGTAATTCTCGCATCAAAATGGATGTCAGTGTCTTATATATGGTGGGTAGACACGTGATGGGGCGATATTTGCTCGGGTCTGTGGTATCTTGATCTTTAGGAACCAAGTAAGTGATCCCAGTAGTGAAGAGGCTCGGGAGCGACTTCTGGTCGAGAGCCTCTTGAAACTGTGGGGCGAGCACAGCGTTACACACTATGAACACCCTTCAGCCAGTAATGATGCAGCCCGTCGAGCCCCGGACTTTTCAGTTCGGAGCCCTACGAACCGCCTCAGCCACGTCTTCCGGCGTTATGGTGATGGGGTCCATAGGCGTAACACTCGCACCCTGGCTCGCCGCAACTTTCATCCAAGGGCCCTCGCTGTGGTTTACGGGCTCTGACCACAGGCCACGCCAGAATGCGATAATGTCAGCCTGATCCGGTCCTTGGCCCGCTCCACATACCTTTGGTCGCTCCAATGATTTATAGAGCCTCTTCTGATCACTCTGGAAGAGACGATTCTGGTTGAATCGCCTTGACCTCTCGGTAAATCGTCGAATCCGCTTCCCCCAAGCAGCGATCTTTTGCTTCAGGTCGTCTATGCGCTCCGTTCGTTCCAAAATCGCCTCTTCCAATATACTCCTCATTTGCTCTAGTTCGTGGGAGACTATTTCATCCTCGTTCGAATCAACCACAACTGGAAGATCCATGGCGGCTTCCACGAGTGGATGCTGGTTTGTCGGATGTGGAGCTGCATCTCCAGCCGTAGCCGATTAATTCGACGATGGAATAGCCTCACGTCGTAGTCGTTCGAGTTCGGCATCATCAAATATTTTCGAGCGCATGATGTATCGAACTCGGTCTGCCAAGTTTTGTTCCGTGACGGGGATAGAAGGCTCGACTTCAGCAAAAAAGCAATGCATCCGAGCCCTATACGCTATTCCCACTGTTTCTATAGTATGCCCGCAATGCGTTTTCGTTCATAGATTTTGTCCAACGCATGTGACGTGCTCCACCAGCGGCGGGTGCCGCTTGCTGAGTACGAGAAGACCCAACCGACACCAAGCCTTCTGGTGGGGATGATGGATGCGAGGGGCTGCTAGGTGTTCGTGCAGCTCCTCGCGCTCGGCTGGCGGCCCGTATGCTGCCTCGTCCAGCGCCAGTTCCAGACGCGCCCCGGCGACCCCCAGGCAGCGGCCCTATGCGCGTTCCTTTCTGTGCCATCATCCATTTTATGGGCACCAAATAACGAACAAATTATTATGATTATTATTATTTGGGGTATCTATATAGTTTTCTCATCTGGTTGGTTTCTATAAATATATAATTATAAATTAAAATGAAACGATAAATATACATAAATATAAATAAAATAAAATAAATACAAAAATACATAAATAAATAAAAGCCCAACCAGATGGAAGCCCTCGGCAAGGGGAGACCAAATGGCCAAGGGTTAGGAGGAAAGGGAAAGAAACCAGCGGACGAGGCGGGCGGTATCGAGAAGCACTGCCTTTTGCATTTGAGCCCGGAGCGATCCGTCATGGAGTCCCAGTCGCCTCAGATGACCCGAGAGGCTGACTGGGATTAGCCCATTCGCAGACACGACTACAGGAATAATTTCGGCCACCCCACATATCGGTCACGTCGTAAGCCAGGTCCAGATATTTTGTTCGTTGATCTGTTTCGGCTTTCACGAGGTTCTCGTCATAAGGAATGGTAATGTCGACCAAAAATACCCTTGACTGTGCCCGCTCCATCAGCACATTATCAGGCTTATTCGCAAGAATATTCCTGTCTGTGATGATGGCCCGGTCCCAGTAGAGCCTAGCGCGATCATTTCCGAGCACGGCTTCCGGTAAGTACTTGTAATACGGCAATTTCCGGTCCACGAGACCGTATTTCAGAGCGAGCTCCTGGTGTAGAATTCTGGCTACTAGGTTGTGCCTGTGCAAGTACTCCCACAGGGTCCAATGCACAGACAAAACCCTCGGTTTCCCCAAAAAGGTCACCGAAACGTAGCCAGTTGAGGGAGGCGACTGTATCTACGAAGGGATCATGTAAAACCCTGTAATATCTCCCGTGGAGCTCCTTCTCCTTCCATACGGTCTCCCGATCGGAAATGCTTTGTACTGCCGGGTCTTGCCATTGCTCGTTGCCTAAGGATAGAGGGGTAAGCCCTTTATCACTACAAATGACGTCATTATAGAATGAATCATCCGATCTCACAAGGAAGTAATTACGGAGGCTGCACACTTCGCGATTATGCATGGTGAGCGCGCTCAGGAAGCCATGCCCGCCATGCTTTCGCGGCAGGTGCAGCATCATGATGCATCCTATGGGACGTCATGGTAGTGCGGACTTTTCTATCCAGAGCGTTAAATTCGGTCTGAGTCCACCTGAGTATGCCAAAGGTATACATGAGGACAGGCATGACCCAGCCGTTAAATGCATGTGCCTTATTCACACCGGACAAAAAGGCTCTTAAGCACTTTGGTCAAGCGTGCATAAAACAAGTGGCAAACTGACTGTTTCATACCAGCCTCATCGATACCGATGTTCTGTGACATACCCAGGTATCGGTATGTTTCAGCCTCGGAAAGGGTCCTTAAGTTGACGGGCATAGATAAGTCTATGCCCTCAGAGTTAGCAACCCTACCCCTCTCAACATGGAGGACCGCACACTTATCCGTCCCCAGTTCCATTCCAATAGAATTGCTAAATTCACAAGTGATGTTTAGCAATTCCATAAGATGGGAGCGACTGGAGGCGAATAATTTGAGTCATCCATATAGAAAAGGTGGGTCACTTTTGTACCTCCTTTCCGAAGCTGAATTTCCCTCCCGGAACCCTCCATTAAAGTACTGAGAGGGTTCAAAGAGAGGCAGAACCAGATTGGACTCAGACAGTCGCCCTGGAATATACCCCTTCTTATCCTTATGCGGCTTTCCGCAGCCATCATCCGCTCGCCTAGATGACAGAGGATTGTACTCCACTGCCCCATACACTTTTCGAGGAAGTCTTGAACTGTACAGTCAATCTTGTACAGCTCAAGGACCCTCTTTAGCCATGTATGGGGCACCGAGTCAAATGCCTTTCTGTAGTCTATCCAGGCGGCGGAGAAGTTCCGACGGTTGCGTTTTACCACTTTGCCAATGACCGCGTCAATGAGGAGTGGTTCCTTTGTTCCACAACCGCCGCCCCGACATCCATTTTGAGCGCGCGACATCACCTGATTTGATTCCAGGTGACGAGTGATTATCGCGCTCAAAATGGATGTTAGTGTCTTGTATATGGTCGGCAGACACGTGATGGGGCGGTATTTGCTCGGGTCTGTGGTAACCTGGTCTTTAGGAACCAAATGCGTGATCCCAGTAGTGAAGAGGCTCGGGAGCGACTTCTGGTTGAGAGCCTCTTGCAGCTGTCGTGCGAGCACAGTGTGACACACCACAAACCCCATCAGCCAGTAGTGATGCAGCCCGTCGAGTCCCGGACTTTTCCATTTCGGGGCCCTACGGACCGCCTCAGCTACGTCATCCGGCGTTATAATGACGGGGTCCATGGGCGTTATACTCGCACACTGACTCGCCACAACTTCCGTCCAAGGGCCCTCGCTGTGGTTTATGGGCTCTGACCACAGGCCGCGCCAGAATGCTACAGTGTCGGCCTGATTCGGTGCTGGGCCCGTTCCACTTACCATTGGTCGCTCCAACGATTTTTAGAGCCTCTTCTGATCACTCTGGAAGAGGCGATTCTGGTTAAACCGTGTCGACCTCTCGGTATATCGCCGAATCCGCTTTCCCCAAGCAGCGATTCTCTGCTTCAGGTCGTCTATGCGCTCCGTCAGTTTTTGCATTATATCCGGCTGAGACAAACTAACATTTGTCCCAGCAAATGCCATCCTGACGGTGCGCACAATCCTTGGCCTGTTGTTGCCTGACCTGGAGCGGCTCGGCGACATCAAATTTATTTGAGCGCAAGATATACCGAACCCGGTCTGCCAGGTTTTGCTCTGAGACGGTTAAAGATTGCTCCAGCTCAGCAAAAAGACGATGCATCCTAGCCCGATACGCCAAACCTCCAACTTCTCCCCCCTTTCGCCCTAAAATACGCCCGCAATTCGTTAGTATTCATTTCGGTTGTCCATCGCATGCGCCCCCCTCGATTGCTGGGCCCGTGAAGACCCTGCCGACACCAAGCCAGATGGTGGGGATGATGGATGCGAGGGGCTGATGGGTGGTCGTGCAGCACCTCTCGCTCGGCTGGCGGTTCGCATGCTGTCGCGTCCAGCGCCAGCTCCAGACGCGCCCTGGCGACCTCCAGGCAGCGGCCCTTTGCGCGTTTTTGCATATTCCATCATCCATAAAAGTGGGCGTCATTTAACGGGAGACGCCCAGACCCGGCGCCGTTTTATGGTGTTATTATTATTATTATAGGTATATAGGTATGGCGGCGGTGTCAGTAATGTCTATTGGCCGTCCCTAGATGTCGCACTAACTTACTACAAGAAGCATCCCTGACGCGAACCTTTCAAACGTTAAATATGGTCGACAATGAAACAGATTTATTATTTTGTACTCTGAACAAATTCACAAAACTTGCTTTATGAATAATTAGTTATAAGGTAATATAGCATTGTAAATACTGCTATATCTATCTTATTGGGTAGAAACCCGTAATGTTAATTAGTATACGTTGGATGTAAATAAATACATAAATTATGTAGCTTTTTGCATTCCTTCTCCAAATTTACGTTAACTATGACTAATCGCACACTCTTACGTGCGCGCAATTTGCTACCCAGTGGCAGACCTAGAGCGGTGCGATCATACGGGGGTGGGGGTGGGGGTGGGGTGTGAAATCAACCGAAACGATACCAACGAGCGCCGGTTACAAATTCACTCACTCTTATCACTAACATTCCGTTTTGTTGACGTAATTAGAAAGTCAACGCACGAGTATTTTGTTGATTACAAACGCAAAACAAGTGCTGTCCATAACAGTTATTTGCACTAGGCTCTTCAAATTTTTTCCCTTACCCTACGCGTGTTGTAGGTGTTAATAATAGGTACTTTATAGTCGTCAGTATAGTAATGTTCAATTGCTATTAAATATTTTAACCGTGTATCAACAGGAAACCATGAAACAAATGCACCATGCTTATCCCACGCATATTCTACACGTAATATGTGAGGTATATAAACATATTAACACAATATGTGAAATATGTAGCATACCTTTATTACTTAGAGTACACAAACTGAACCAATTCCGAGCGCGTCAAAGTTAGAAACTCCGTAATTGCTACATTTTCGGGTTGTCCGATTTGCATCGTGACCAAGTTTTGAACCAGTCCGCAACGTTAAATTGAAATCAACTTTCCTAACTTGTAGGTACATGAATTTTAAAACTGCTTTTTACTTATTTAGTCTAAAACAACATAACCACAAAACAAAACCTTTTTCTTCTTTTTTGAAAGCTAGTCATTTAGGTATAATATCGGTAAATGTATTCGTAACGAGTGATAGACTTAGAAATGAGAATATCCGCAGACGCAGTAGAACTAGTATAGCCGATATAGTCCAGCAGATTAATATTAGATGGATTAGATGGATGCTGATAGCTCAGGACCGTGCTTTTTCGGCATTCTTTGGGTGAGATCTGTGTCAACAGTAAACTTGATAAGGGCTCTAATGATGATGACGACGAA